TGTTGTTTTGTTTCATTATTTGTACCTGTTGGGAAGTAAAGTCAGGGTTTTTTTCTCTTTTTTTGTGAGGTTTCATATTCATTGTTTGCTCGGTTTGGTATATTTGATGTCTGTTTATTTTTCGCATGCTAGTTTTGTGATTTTGTCCCGTCTATCTATTGTTTTGTTTAATTGTTTTTTTTTATATAAACATGCATTTGGGAGGACACATTTTGCGAAGATGCTGCCGCTTTAAGACAGGAAGGAAGGAGTAAACATGCGCCAGAGCAAAGGAAACCCACGGCTAGCTGCAGCGGCTCCTTGAATAGAACTGTTTGGAGACAAAATATCTGTAAACAATCAAGTAGTTCACTGAAAACTAACGTCCTAGGGGTTTCAGCTGTGACAACAAATCACCAATGAGAACAGAAGACTACAGTTTAAAAATAAGAGTCTGCAATAACAAGGAATAATGGGCATCGCCATGCGCATTACTTAAACAAATACATCTTTAAAATGAATCATCCTAAAATGTCATCATGCAAGCGTCATCAAAAGCTTTCTTCAGCGTGACACTGATTAAGGGAAAGTTGCAACAGTATTGCAAACAAGCGTTAACGAAAGGGCTTGCTTTGGGCGCGAAAATAAAATGATTCGGCAAGCTCTGAAGTTTTAGCCCAGCGGTCCCTAGTTCCTGAAGAGGAGGGCACAGGGCTAAAGATACTTTCATTTTTTTAACTTATTTAATTGCACACTCAATTAAGTCTTTCGACGAAAATGGAATAAAAATAAATAAATAAAAAGTTTGTTGTTAGTTATCCAAATCGGTTTGTTGAGTAGACCGACCTTTCAAAAACCTGGGATCCATGGAGAAAATTAATCTAAATAAAAGGGATTCTTGGTAATGAAAAGACCGGCAACTGTTGGCTTAGTTTTTGCCCGCATCGAGATCCCATGTATACCATTTCTACTTAATGAAATATCAGGAAAGGGGTATAGGTTACTGCACTCTTTTTCCCTTTCTTTTTGAATACGTACAAAGGGAGACTGAAAAAAGCCCGCCATGAAAATTAAAAGGTTCGATTTTCTCTTGCTTTCAAAGTTGATGACTCATCTTTCGAGCGGGAATATATATATAAAAAGCACATGTTAATTCCGTAGAATAATAAAAAAAATGCTGTTTTTTCAAGAATCGAGAAATTACCTAGAAATGATAACGACCCTAAATATTTAATGAAAACAAGTGTTTTCTATAATCATATTCTTTAAAATGTTCTATGACATTACAAGGTTAAAGTTATATATTTTGATACTAATACCTGATTACTTAAAGGTTAAGGTTAAAGGTATATATCATCATTATTTCATTTACATGTTACTTGAAACATTAAACTACCCTCACACAAAATATAAAACGCTGTTGACTAGAACAGGTCCTTATGCAAACATTTCTGACAATAGGCTTAAATCTAACGCTAAACTAGGCCTACAACTTAAACATAACCATGACTAGTGACATAGTGACACTACTCAAACCTCCAAGACACCAGCTTATGCGGCGCTTATGCCAGTCCCTTGTACTAGCCCCTAGTACCAAGTTGCTTGTGTTAGCGCTTCATACCAGGCTGTTAGTACTAGCCTATAGTATCAGGCCCTTAGTACTAGTCTTTAATACCAGGCCCAAGTACTAGCCTTTAGTACCAACCTCTAGTATCAGGCCCTAATACGAGGCTCCTAGAGTCAGTCCCTAGTACTAGGTCCCTAATACTAGCCCTAAATACCAAGGTCCTAGTACCAGACCCTTTTTTTTTTACCTTCCTTGTCCCAGGCCCCTAGTACTAGCACAGACTCCCTCGAGCCACGACAGCGAAAAACTAGACAGGAACAGCACAATCTCACCTCTGAAAAGTAGCGGTTCGTCCAGGTATCTCCCGACCCGAAGATTCTGGGGCAGGGGGGGCGGGGGGGGGGCCTCTTCTATTTTATGAGGCCTCGGGCGTTCTAGCAGCTTCTTAGTGGGTCCTGCGGGAGAAGATGGAATGAGTCAGCGTTTTGGTGGATGTGATGTCTGAGTTTTGTGTATCTATTTTCTAAGTGTCTGTTTTATATGGTACCTGTTATATATGTTATATATTATCTATGTTCACTACTATTTGTGTTCTCTATTATCCATGTTATGTATTATCCATGTCATCTATTATCCGTGTTATCTATTATCCTTGTTATCTATTATCCGTGTTATCTATCATCTATGTCATCTATTATCTATGTTCCCTATGCTGCTTCCTTGAACTGCCTGCCTCCAGTTCGCGTGTTGAATACGAGACACGGAATACACTGAGAGCTAAACGCGTGTCAAGTGTCGACACTGTGTGAAGTCATGGACCAGAACCGTATTGATGAAACTGTAAGGGTTATGTTGTCATGCGTCTCTGCTCCTCCCTCCCCTCCCCCCCCCCCCCGCCATTCCCTCCGCCCTTCCCCTCTGTTCCTCCCTCCGCCCTTCTCTTCCCCCCTCCCCTTCGATCTTTCCCTCTGCTCCTCCCTCACTCCTTCCCCTCTGCTGCCCCCCCCCCCATTCCCTCCGCACTTCCCCTCTGTTCCTCCCTCCGCCCTTCTCTTCACCCCCTTCCTCTGCCCTTCCTCCTCCACCCTCACCCCCTCACCCCCTTCCCCTCTGCTTCTTCCTCTACCCTTCCTTCTCCCTCACCCCTTTCCCCTCTGCTTCTCCCTCTGCCCTTCCTCCTCCTCCCTCACCCCCCCCCCCTCGCCCCCTTCTCTACACATCAATGCTGCCTGCGAGGATGACAATACGTGAAAAAGAGTCGTTTTCTTGGGACACGCTAAACTCAACTTGTTCACAAAGGAATGTCCATAACAAAGACATGTTTTGGGGTACTCTTCTTTTTTCTCCGTTTTTTTTTATACCTCTGCTCCTCTCCCTTCCCCCCCCCCCCCCTTCCCCTTCCCCCTCTTCCTTTCTCTTCGCTTTCCCCCTTTCTTCGCCCCTCCTTCCTTTCCTGTCTTCCAAGCCCCCCTTCCCTTCCCCTCTTCTCCCTCTCCTTTTCATCTCTTTTCCCTGTCCTTCCCTTCCCTCTCCTTTCCATTTCCTCATTTTCCTCTCTTCGCCCTCCTATCTTTATTCCCGTCCTCACCCTTCCCACCTCCCTTTACTCCTCCACCGTTCGCCAGCCTTCCCCCCCCCTGGCCCATGACACAGCACGTCTGCAGGATAATCTCTCTTCGTCTACTCATTTCAACACCCATTGCGGTTCCTCCTCCTCCTCCTCCTCCTCCTCCTCCTCCTCCTCCTCCTCCTCCTCCTCCTCCTCCTCCTCCTCCTCCTCCTCCTCCTCCTCCTCTCTCACTTTGGCTTTTCCCATTTCACTCTCCCTCTCCCTCTTTTCCTTCTCTTTCTCATTTCTCCCTTTCTCTTTCCCTCTTTTTGTCTCTCCCTCTCTTTCCCTCTTTTTGTCTTTCCCTCTTTTTATCTCTCCCTCTCTTTCGCTCTGTCTGTCTATCTCTCTCTTCATCTCTCTCTCTATTTCCCTCTCTTTCTCTCTATTTCCCTCTCTCTGTCTCTTTCTCTCTATTTCCCTCTCTCTGTCTCTTTCTCTCTATTTCCCTCTCTTTGTCTCTCTCTCTCTCTCTCTCTCTCTCTCTCTACGTCTCTCTCTCTCTCTCTACGTCTCTCTCTCTCTTTCCCTCTCTACGTCTCTCTCTCTCTTTCCCTCTCTACGTCTCTCTCTCTCTTTCCCTCTCTACGTCTCTCTCTCTTTCCCTCTCTACGTCTCTCTCTCTCTTTCCCTCTCTACGTCTCTCTCTCTCTCTCTTTCCCTCTCTACGTCTCTCTCTCTCTCTCTTTCCCTCTCTACGTCTCTCTCTCTCTTTCCCTCTCTACGTCTCTCTCTCTCTCTTTCCCTCTCTACGTCTCTCTCTCTCTTTCCCTCTCTACGTCTCTCTCTCTCTTTCCCTCTCTACGTCTCTCTCTCTCTTTCCCTCTCTACGTCTCTCTCTCTCTTTCCCTCTCTACGTCTCTCTCTCTCTTTCCCTCTCTCCTCTCCCTCTCCCTCTTCCCCTCCCCCACCTTCCCTCCATCCTTTCCTCCCATCCCTGTCATATGTTGTTGTTTATAACAGAGCGCAGACTTCTGTAAAATATCTCTCCGCTCTCTCCCTCTCCTCCCTCCTTCCCCCTCCTCCCTCCTCCCTCCTTCCCCCTCCTCCCTCCGCCTCCCTCCTTATCCCTTCTTTATCCCGCGTCCCCTATCCCTCCTTCGCCCTTCTGCCGCAAAGTGGGCCACAGCGTCCGAGTCAAGTACCAGTACCGCGGCAGAATCGCCTCGTCGTGACCGCAAACGCCTTCACTTGCTTTTGCCTCCCTCGGGCCCGCACTTTCTCCCGGAATGATACAGCAGAAGTTCCCGCTTCCCTTCCTCCTCTTCCTCTTTTCTTCCATTTCTCTCTTCTTATCATTCTTAGTCTTCTTTTTCTCTTTTCTTCTTTTTCTTTTTTCTTCTTTTTCTTTTTTCTTCTTTTTCTTTCTTCTTCTTTTTCTTTCTTCTTCTTCTTCTTCTTTCTTTCCGTTTTTCTTATTTTTCTCCTTCCTTCTTCTCCTCCTCTCCACTCTTCCTATACTCTTCTCCTCCTCCTCTTCCCGTCCCTTCCTTTCTTCATCTCTTCTCCTCTTCCACATCCCTCTCTCCCTTCCTCCTCCTCATCCCTCCCTCCCTCCCTCCCTCCTTACCCCCCCATCCCTCCCTCCCTCCTTACCCCCCCCATCCCTCCCTCCCTCCCTCCCTCCTCATCCCTCCCTCCCTCCCTCCTCAGCCCTCCCCTATCCTTCCCCCTCCCCCTACCCCCTTCTCCCTTCTCTGGATGTAGTGGTCAAGCCTGTCATGGATAGGCAGAGGAGGTCCGCACCGTCATGCTGGTCATTAACAGCGGCAACACCCCTCCAGTGCGTTCACACGTACACCGCGCGAGCACACGCATGCACGCACATTGATATAACCTGTGTACGTACAAAAAAAAAGTATACATTAATATGACATATCCTCATACTTTATGTACATGTGGATACATTTATATAACGATCCACCATAATTTATTCACAGGCAGATTCATTCATATAACGAATCCACTTAATTTAAGCACAGGCGGTTTCATTTATATAACGAATCCGCGTACTTTACGTACAAACACACACATTTATATAACAAAGTCACATACACAAATATACACACACATCAATATAACCTGTGTGCGTACTTCCCATACATGTACACACACTCATACAAAGCACCCACGTACATATAAGGAACCCACAAACACAAACATTTGTACAAAGAAACCACGTAATTTACACAAAAACACACATATAAGGAATCAGCAGACTGTACACATAACAACACATTTATATAAGGAATACACGTAACTTCCACATACACGCACGCACACTTATCTGCATAACGGAATCACATACCGACACAATCTCACGCTCTCTCCCTCCATAATTCACTGTCTCACCGTAACACCTTCATTTATTAAATATCGCATGACAATCGATCGATTCGAAAACACTTTCCTCCCCAGTGCCAGCGACCAGTGCCTAGTTCGGGGTGGCACTCTACAGACAACTCTAGCCTGATGGTGCCAGCAAGTAATCCCTATCTATGCCTATTTCCGGTACATTATCTATGATGATATTGGGGGATTTTAAAAAAATATATATAAAAAAAAGAAAATCAAAATGCCATCAAGTCGCCAAGGGTAAGAGTACAAACTCACAGTATTTGGTAAGGCTGTCACGTGCTCACGGATCAAGGTGCTCCTATGTTAATTAACTAAATTATCTATTAGTCCCTCGCTAATTAGCTAATACATCGGTTATTCTGGTATCATTTCGCTAAATTACAAGCCGTTCCGAAATTATCCAGTTCCAGCATAAATCATTGGACTTGGCCGTGTTATTAAGCTATTTTTCCAGCAGTTAATTCAGTGTCATTTATCTAAATCATACCGGCATTCCTGTATACTTAAAACGTTAATTGGCCATTGTGTCTAATGGTCCTCCATTATCCACCCAGGTCGGCAAACAGTCATGGACAACTCATGGGTGTAATACTTAAAATGTGACGTCATCCGCTGTCACGAAATATTACCTGGACGAGAGAGATGTGACGATGAGAGAATATTAGCTCGTGGAATTATGTTCGTTGGAGCAAAATAAACATAGGCCCAAATAAATAAATAAATAAATAAATAAATAAATAAATAAATATATACGTAGAGCTAGACAGATGAATAGATAAATATATAAATAAGGAAGTAAATGAACAGCTGGTGACCGTAATTAGCATCGCGTGACCACAAAGTAACACCAGCTAACCACACACAAATAACAGGAGACTCCGAACAAATAACAGGAGACTCCAGCTGGCAATAAAATCCGACCACCTGGCCAAACAAGGGAATGCTGGGCGACCTTCTACTAAAAATAACAATAATAATAATAATAATAATAATAATAATAATAATGATAATAATAATAATAGTAATAGTAGTATTAACAGAAGAAAAATAACAATGGTGGTAATAATATCAATAATGATGATGATGATTATAGAAATAATAATAACAATTATCATTATTATTATTATTATTATTATTATTATTATTATTATTATTATTATAATACCAAAAACAAGAGTATACAAATTAGCCCTCTGAGACTACACAGACTACGACGAGCAAAACATCAACCGAGGACCACCTAGCTACGAACTATCACCAGCTGGCCCCAAAACAGAGAGCTAGCACCAGCTGGCTGTAATGGAGTTAAAGCTGGGAGGCCACGACAGAGAGTGAACTTTTACCTTCAACCTGACACTCACACACCGTATTCACAAACGGGACTTAAGCGGGGCGGCGCTGAGCGTCTCCCCCCCTTCCTCCCGTCCCCTCTCCCCCCTCCCTCTCTCCTCCCCCTCCCGCAAGAATAAGAGGAAGAACCAAGAAAGA